TCCTCCTCCTCCTCCTCCTCTTCCTCCTCCTCCTCCCAATAAAAATAAATGGTCTTTGCAGACTTTTTTTTAAATGTGGCAAACTCAATTAACAACTGAAAAAAATACTCTAGTCTCATGAAGAAAATTTACTGATTTGTCCAAATACAAAACCTATAGAAAACACCATGGGTAGGGCTATAATATATAATATTATAATATAATATATATAATATTATATTATTCTGCATGTTTAGCATGCAGAAACCACAGCACAAGTTCAAGCCCCGGAACCCCCGCCCCGCCCCCAGACTCCCAGCAGCCATCAAAGGTACAGGAATGGGGCTGGAAATGCAGCAGAGGCCGGGGGAGCCACCCGGCACTGAGAACGCTTCAGTAGGGTGTGTATGCATGCATCCCTAGCCCAGCTCACTGAAGACCGTCATCCATTATGTCTGTGCTAAGACATGGGCTAGAGTGATGGAGTCAGTGTTACCCTCTTCCTTCCGGGTTTGAAACCACCTGAGAGGGTGGGAGGTGGAGGTGGGGAGTGAGGCGAACTCTGGGATTAGACGGGGAGAGCCGAGAACCCATTTCAGTAAGGATCAAGCAAGGCTGAGCAGTAAGGCTTAATCCGAAAAGGACGGATTTCTCCTCATCATGCTTGAGTTCTGTAAATTCACCCTTGTAGCTGTGCTGAAGTATTGGCAGCATTTGTGTGTGTGAGAGAATGTGTGACGGTTACTTGTGCTAGGGGCTAAGAACATGTGTTGCTCTTGCAGAGGACCTGGATCTAGTTCTCAGCACCCATATGGCAGCTCACAACATAACTAGGGGATCCAATGCACTCTGCAGACCTTCAAGGCACCAGGTACATGTGGTGCACAGATATACGTGAAGGCAAAATACTATATATAAAAAACAGAATAAATAAATGTTAAAAAAAAAAATCATTCTTAATGTGTGCTGACTACAGGCAGGCAGGATCTGGCCACTCCCCCAATTGGGGGAGGAAAGTCAGGGCAAAACATGGCCAATCAGACATCGCCTGCTCTGACCTGCCCCAGAGGCTTGTGGAAGGAGGTGGTATGCTTCTTGGGTAATTCTTCCTACTTGGAGTGGGGGTGCTGTGGTTCCCTTTTTTTGTGAACCGAAGGTTTTAGCCTTTGATGGACACCTCGGGCGAGGCTCTGGGGGACAGCACAGCAGTCTGGCATCTGTCCCACCTTCTCTAGCCACACTCTTGCTCAAGTAGAACCTTCCAGAGCTCTGTGAAGAACACAGTAGATTTTCCCCAGCAGGCTCTCAAGCAGATCAAACTGGGGTCCTGTTTAAATGAACTCAAGGCGGCTCTGAGGTACAGGGTGAAGCGGATGCCCGGCTTTCCAGGCCGGACCCTCCTGCTTTTTCTCATCTCCAGAGAAGCTGTGTGAAGACTGAGAACAGAAGCCTTCCTGTCCTGTTCACCGCTGTATCCCAGCAGGTAGAATGGTGCCCCGCTCACAGTGGGCACCTGAGTGCGCATCAGAGCCGAGTGTGGTGATAGATGCCTGTATACCAGCACTCAGCAAGCCGAGGCTCAGGCTCCACAGCTCAGGGCAGCCTGGTCTCTTTTGCTTTGGTTCTGAGCCACAATTCCAGCCCCGAACCCTGTTCTACAGTCCTAACCCTGGTACCTGTGAACGTGATTTGGTTTAGAATTCATTTGTCTTTTGCATATATGTTCAATTGGAAATGAAGTTCCTGAGGTGGGCATCTAGTCCCGCAGAACTTCCGGTGTCCAATAAGGAAGAGGGGCTGGAGAGGAGGTTCAGTGGCTGAGAGGCCCTAGGTTTGACTCTTGGTACCTACCCAGTGTCTTACAACCGTCTGTAACTCCAGTTCTAGGGGACCTGACCTTCTGTCTTCTGACCTTTGTGGGCACCAAGCACATAGGTGGTATACATACAGGTTAAACCCCCAAACACATAAAATAAAATTGTAAAAAATAACTTATTTTTTGAAGAGAGGAGAGGCAAACGCCCTTGAGGGGAGACAGTCCCAGGGAAGATTGGAGGCAGAGACTGGAGTGATAGAGCCACAAGCCAGTTGCTGGTGATCGCAGCTGCCATTAGGAACTGGGGTGCCACGGGACAGAGCCTCCGGAAGGAGCCCACTGGCCAAGGCCTTCATTTGGATCTCCTGGGCTTCAGAACCAGGACAGGGCCTGTTTCTTGTTTGAACACCTCAGTTGTGGCTGTTTTGTGACAGCCTTGGAACTGTAGAAGAGGCTTCAGTTGTTTATGCCGTGGTGGCCCCCCTCCTGGGAAGGCAGACTTTCTGGGGAACAGCTTGTTTTTTACTGGGGGACGCCCAGAGCAGGGCTGATGTCCATCCATCTCACCTCCTTTGCCCTCCTGACCCAGCACAGTGTGGCCATGGCCCCGGAACTTTCTGGTCTCACCTGGTCTCTGACATTTTGTTTCCTGTCTGTTGTTCTGTGCTGGGGCTTGAACACCGGACTTTGTGCATGCTGGTCACACTCTACATTAGTGTCGTCCCTAGCTCTCTGGTTCTGACTTTTTTTCCAAGCCTCATTCCTCCATAAACCTTGTGTTGGTTATCTTCTAGTTTTTTTCTTTCCCTTTTTTATTTTCCTGTTTCTATACCCCTCCCTCTGACTTAGAAGCTTTCCCGAAGACCCCTCTGTACCTGCCCACCATAATGAGTGACAGAGCAGGCGAGGCCAGTGACCATAGCAGGCCTTCCTCTGAACCAGGTGTGACCTGAGACTTGCCTTTTGTCTCTGAGCAGCTCTGTGAGCCTCAGCAAGTAGCTTTCCTTGTGTGCCTTGGTTGCCTCGTCTGCACGATGGGGATCACAGCGCACGTTCCACTGGGTGGGCATGAGCCCTAACAAGATAGTATGGTAAATGCTGGGAACGGCGCCGTGTGCGTCGTAAGGGTCAGTGAGTGTTAGCTATTACTGTAATTACACACTTACATGTCTGACTCCCCCGCCGAGCGGAGACACTTGAAGACAGTAATTGTGTGTTTTTCTCTCCGCATCTCCAGTGACTTACGAAGACTTGGCACATGGTAGGCTCTAAATAAATGTTTGTTGAATTAATGATGATAATTAATGTAATTGCCTACCGGGAACCCATATTAGGTTTTGACCCTCTGCTGGTGCCACATGGGGTAGGGAGAACATGATCAAGTTATCTGCTGCAGTTAAACAGCATGCACAGCTGCTGCTCCCCGAGTACCCACATCACATGGAGCCACCCGGGACGGAGTGGGTAAGTGAGCACAGCTTGCACCTCGGTGTGCTCTCTGTGGGCAGGCGCGACCGTCATCTTTGAAGTGCTGATCCAGGGTTACAGTCTGAGCAGCCACTAAGGAAACAGTGGGGGTGCAGAATGTATGGACATCAGAACACAGTGAATGCAGGATAGGTGTCAACTGTGACTACAGGGTGGGTGTGCACACTGTGACTACAGGATAGGTGTGCACACTGACTACAGGATAGGTGTGCACACTGTGACTACAGGATGGGTGTGCACACTGTGACTACAGGGTGGGTGTGCACACTGTGACTATAGGATAGGTGTGCACAGTGACTACAGGATAGGTATGCACACTGACTACAGGGTGGGTATGCACACTGTGACTACAGGATAGGTGTGAACACTGTCTACAGGATAGGTGTGCACACTGTGACTACAGGATAGGTGTGAACACTGTGACTACAGGATAGGTGTGCACACTGTGACTACAGATAGGTGTGCACTGTGACTACAGGGTGGGTGTGCACACTGACTACAGGATAGGTGTGCACAGTGTGACTACAGGATAAGTGTGCACAGTGACTACAGGATAGGTGTGCACACTGACTACAGGGTAGGTTTGGGGATTTGACTGTGCAGAATCGGTGTGGAGTTTGTGCTCAGTTACTGTTCCAGTTGGTGGCCCTTTACCATCCAATTTTGACATTTTTGTCTTCTTAAAGAAAAAATTTAGCGTGATTGTTCGCTCACATGTTTAGTCCCAGAACATGAGGGCAGAGGCAGGTGGATCTCTGGGTTCAAGGCCAGCCTGGTCTACATAGCGAGTTCCAGGACAGCCAGGGCTGCATAGTGTGACCCTGTCTCACAAACAAACAAACAAAGAGGTTAGTGGACCGTGGACATTAGGTGATGTCAGTTCCTACTTTCCATCATGTGGACCCTGGGGAACTGGACTCAGGTCACTAGGCTTGTGGCAGGTGATTCCTCATTGAGACATCTTTTTTGTTTTTGTTTTTTTTTTCTTCCCAAATTAGTTTAGAGAGATTCCTAAGCCTGTTAGTAATGAACACTGGGTCTCTAGGCTTTATTGGGTCTGGATTTCATTATCCTTTTTTCCATGTGTGTCTCCCTCAGTAGACACACAACATCTGCTTGTCTTTCTGAGATCAGCCGCCATCAGTAATCATGGTTAGAGCTGTTATTTCATTAGAGGACTATAAAACGATGAAACTCTATTTATTAGCTAGAAATTTCTATAAAGACAAACCTCCTTTAGTTTCATTATCCTGGGATACAGTTGTTCTTTAGAAAGGAAAATGGCTAGATATGGTGGCGCTCACCTTTAATCCCAGCACTCTGGAGGCAGAGGCAGGCGGATCTCTGTGAGTTCGAGGGCAGCCTGGTCTACAGAGTGAGTTCCAGGCCAGCCAGGGCTACATAGTGAGACCCTATCCCAAAAAAATAAAAAAGGAAAATAAATGCTTTTATTTATTTATTACCAGTTTTCACAGTAATGAAGTATTTTTTCTATCATCCTCCAGGGGTGAGCAATAAAACAAGACACTTTTGGACATTTTAGAAAATAGCAAAAGAATTAACAAAAGAATACTATCATGAACTCCTGAATTTTGTTTGTTGGTTTGGCTTGCCTTGTTTGTTTGTTTGTTTGTTTTGAGGCGGAATCCGACCACATGCCCAGGCTGTCTCAGGCTTCTCCAGGGCCACAGCCATCGGCATGGGTCAGCACACGCGGCTCTGGCTTTGGCTAGTCTCAACACGTTGGGGCCATTTCCCCCTGACAAAAGCAGCTTAAAGGAGAAAGCGTTTTTTCTTTTAGTGGCTCACAGTCTGAGGGTACGGACTGTCGTGGTGGGGAGGCGTGGGTGGCAGCAAACGGAGGCAGCTGTCACTCACATCCACGGTCCTAGCGGAGAGATGGCCGCTGGTGCTCTGCTCACCCTTCCTTTTCACTCAGTGCAGGACCCCAGTGGATGGGATGATGGGATGGCGCCTCCCGGATTCAGGGTGGGTTTCTGAGCATCCGTTACACCTCGCTGGAAACACCCTCGTAACACACCCACAGGCTGGTCTCCTACGTGATTCTAAGACCCATCATGTTGATTTCTACCGAGCTCTGCCTCTGGAGTTGAGTTGTGTGTCTGTTGGTGAATGAATAGATTTGAAACTGTTTCGTGTACTTTAAATCCATGTAATTCTTACCCTTATGGGCACGTCCTCCTGTCCTTGTGTGTGTGTGTGGGGGGGGGAGGTTATTTAAGCCTCCCATAAGCTTCTTTGGGTTATTGGATTTTTATTTTTAAATTAAGATTTATTTATTGCTGGAGAGATGGCTCAGTGGTTAAGAGCACTGGCTGTTCTTCCAGAGGTCCTGAGTTCAATTCCCAGCACCCACAGGGCAGCTCACAACTGGCAATAATTGTAGTCCTGTGAGATCCAATGCCCCTCCTCTAGTTTGTAGATGTACATACAGACAAAGCACCCTTTTACATGCATACATACATTGAAAAAAAGCCCTTTAATCCCATCATTCTGGAGACTGAGGCAGGATCAGGAGTTCAAGGCCAGCATGGGGTAGAATAGACATTGACTCAGACAAACAACAAATTCTGAGCATAATAGTGGCTAAGGGCCCAAATCCACACAGAGATCAGCGTGGCAAACAGAATGCCAAGCAACCTGCGTATGAACTGACTTTTCATTAAAGCCAGGTGTACTAATTCTATGACGATTACCATTTTATGAATGCAGAAACAGGCAGAGGCAGGTGGATCTCTGTGAGTTCGAGGCCGGCCTGGTCTCCAAAGCAGGTTTCAGGGCAGCCAGGGCTGTTACATAGAGAAACCCTGTCTTTTAAAACAAGAAGAATGAACAGGTTGTCCCAGGTTCTCTTCCCGGAGAGGGAGTGGGGCCTACGCAGGCTGTCCTCACGTCTCCAGGCTCTTTGTTGTTTCTTTATGTGGGGCACGGTGCGCTGGTGCTGTGGGGCAGAAATGAAGGACAGAAGACAGCTTTTTAGAGTCACTCCTCTCCCTTCACCGTGTGGGTCCTGGGGATTGGGTCAGGCTTGGCAGCAAGCACCTTTACCCACTGCGCCCTCTCGCCGGCCCGTCAGGTGTTCATCCTCTCCGTACCCCAGGGTAGGGCCTGGAAGTTGTGTTGCGCTTTGGATTTCCTGTAGGCCTTTTGTCCTGGTAGTGGGCTTGTGAAGTAGAGAGCAAGTGACATCAGTTTGACATGTGAGAAACAGAAGCCTGAAGAAGATGCCGCCGCCGCGTTCAGTGCTGGGCACCCAGGGTGCAGGACATTCACTTGGTCCGTAAAAACCTTTCGGGAGCTGTGTTGCCCCATGATTCAGGTGAGGCAGTTTCCTTGTGAGAGGGTGGACTTGTGCATCATTCAGATCGCTGTCGTGTGCTCCTGGGGCCCGGGCCTGGGCTGCCTTTGGGATCTCACAGTTGAGCCCTGACCTGGCCTTTTCTGGAAGGTCAGCTTGTACTACCTTCTTACCCCTATGGTAGACTTGAACCCAGGACCTTGGACATGCCAGGCCAATGGCTCTATCATTGACCTGTACTCTCAGGCCATTTACTTACTTAGTTCTTTCTTTATTCTTATGTGTGCGGCTGTTTGCCTGCATATATGTTCTGTGCATCATGTCTGTACCTGGTACCCGAGGAGGTTTGGTTTCTCTGGAACTGAGTAACAGATAACTAACTGTGTGAGCCACCATGTGGGTGCTGGGAATCGAACTCAGGTCCTCTGGAAGAGCATCCAGTGCTCTTACCGCTAAACTCGCTCTCCATACCCAGGTCCCAGGCCTCTTAAAATTTTAGTTTGAGACAGTCTTGCTAAGTTGACTAGGCTGGGTTCACGCTTGCTGTACAGCCCAAACTGACCTTAAATGTGATCCTCCTGCCTCAGCTTCCCAGGTAACCGATTACAGGCCTGCACCTCCACGCCCAGCCTCTGTGGCTGAGGTCCCAGAGCTGCAGGACCGCTGGGTCAGGGGTTCGGGAAAAATCGCCTTTCTGTCATCTTGCTGCCAGCCTAATGGCTCGGCCATCTTTAGATGTCAGGAAGTGTAGCCACGCGGCACATTTCTAACTTTGAATAATGGATGAGGCCAGGGAAGGCATTGTGTTCTTCCTGGTGAATTATTTACCAGGAGCCTCTAAATTGAGGGCTCTCCATTATAAACGTCCGAATCTTGCACAGGTACGCAGCCCCCCCACCCTCCCCCGTTTTCCACGTAGACAAAGCTGTCACCTTCCCTCTGTGCTGTCGCTCCAGGCAGACCCTGGGCCGGTGACTGGGTCTGATGTCCTCTCCCCTCAGTCACTGTGTGCCCCCTTCATGGAGACCCAGGGCAGATCTGCCAGGGCAGCTAGAGTCAGTTAGGAGACCACCAGTGTTACAGACACAGGGAGCCCTGTGTGTGCTGAACTACCCTGTCTTGTGTGGCCCTTTGTCCCTTCAGCTCTGTTGTCCATCCTTGCCTTTGTCCTTCAGTCCACCCGTCTTGTGTCTTCCGGTCCCACTTTCTTTTTGGCTCTTCCTCGGTCTCGTCTCTCTGCCTCCTTCTCCCAGCCCTGTGCCTGCCAGCTCCTGCCCGTCCCCTCCCCTCCTGTCTTCTGGCTCGGTGTCTGCCTGTCATTCCTGGCTCTGCTGGTCTGTAAGAGGCAATCCTGGAAGAACCGAGGGACACTTAAGTGAAGCCAGATCTTGGGGCCTTCCGGACCTGG